ATGATATTAAATGTTTCGTATACTAAATGTTAGCATGGGGCAGAACTAAAAGTCAAACAAGTCTAATGATTTTCTGATAATTACTTAATGAGTTGTTACTCTTAATCAGATTTTAGTGTATTATAAATGTTTCATTACCGACAATAGAAAAAATATAAAACAACTCTTGTTGACTGCTTGGACGACTTAGCTGCCATGAGCGTATGTTTCGTTGCATTGCAACCTATCTTTATTTAAAGACTGTTGTTATTGTATTAACAAAAATTGTATGAAAAATGGATTGGCTTTTGGAAAAAAGATAAAAGAAGTATTATTACTTTATTTGTCCATGGCATATAAAGATGGGAGTGTGGTACCAATAGAAACTAATGTCAACTTAAATGATCTGAACTAAGAATTTTTCGATTTAAATAATTTTGGGACCAAAATGTTTTTTCTGATAAAGAGTATTTGTGGTTGTGTATGATCATATGTACTCTATATTTACCCTTTATTCTGGCATGTTAATGGGCTTTAATTAGTGAAAGACATATCATAATCAAGTTTCCTATTTATTATTTCATTTATGTAATTTGAAGTAGAATATTTCCAGTACTGTAGATACAAGTGTAATTGACATTTGATCAAGGTCACAATGTATTATGACGAAAGTCGTAAACCTAGACAATACAACACATGTTGATTGTTTATAGTTTTATATATAATGGGACAGGATGTTCCTGTCGGAAACAGTGCAATGGACCTCCTGCAAAACAATACTACAATTTATTTGAGTTTGAGAAATTTTTATGAACTGATTGACATTGAAATACATGTACATGAAGTGACAACAGATAAACAGTCTAGACTCTGATGACCAAACTACCCATGTCAAAACATACTGTATGATGGAAATTGATAACATGGTTTGCTTGCTATGAAATATTACTTGTAGATTTTACTTACAAAAATTGACACAAGGACATATTTGAAATGTGGCCACCTTTGTCCATCTGTCCAATGATGTGTGTTGGGGAAAACAGATAATTTAAAACTCAAAAGTATTTGGTAGGTCTCCTCAAAAGCCTTCACTTCTAATTTTGTAAGTTTTGACATTTTTAATAAATCATCATTTTGGCAATTTATATAGAAGAACTAAACATGAAAATAGTTTGGCCGGTACATCTATACATTAGCAAAAACTTTTTTGCATGTATTAGCCTGCATTTTCTCAAATTACATAAAGATATTTTAATCTATAACAGGACCAAAGCCAGAAAAAAATGATGTTAAATCCCATTTCATTTCATTGCATTTCTTTTTAATATGTGAGAATTAGGCTAAAAATGAGGAAAAAGAGTATATTAATAGGGCATAGGTAGATGTATTTCAGTGAGCTTTAAATTTAGAAAGGATGGTTGAAGTTGAAGCCACCATTCTCTCAACACATTCAAAATAAAGACAAAGTTTTTTCACCCTCCTGCAAAAAAGTAACTCATTATTCCTATATAACTTTGACATTTGGCCCTCTAATGTCATTTAATTTGCAGCTGACTAGGTTTATGAATGTGTCAAGATGGCTTTTAAAGACGAATTAATCATTACATAATATGATATTTAGATTAGAGTAAGAAAGTTTCAGCTGTTATAGTAGTTAGCCAATACTGTGTTTACATTTCTTACAGGATTGGGTGTGGTATATTAAACACCTAACATTGATTCCCTACTACATTATTATAACATGAGAAAATCTTTGTCTAATTTATAGAATAGCAATATATAATAAGCTGCAGACGGTATATTTTATATTAAAAGAAGACTACCCTGAACACATGCTGTATTATTTGATAGAAAATTGGACACTTATGGCCGAAGGCGACAAAATTTTATTGACTATAGAATAATCAATATTTGATACTTGAGAGAGGTTTTTGAGAGGTGTCAAAGATGCAAAATATTAATTTTCAACTTGTTTGGCTTTATGTGTTACAGCAGGAGAGTAAAACGGAATGAAATGAAATGGGGGTTAAAGTCTTACTGTTCATCTCTGACTGGGCTAATGGAGATGTACATACGCCATACAGTGTGCCATGAGGGAATTTTTGCCCGGACAGCGGCGATACGGCCTACTCTTATATCAAATTCCAATTCCAATGTGTACACGGACCTCGGTTTTCTGTACCATCCAAACGACTATACACTGTCCCATGCTAGGCCCTTCGTCCTGCACTACTGACAAGATTAAACCATGCCGGAAAACCCAGATGAACTTTCTCGCTCGGCCAACACAGGTTAGAGAGCCAACGTCTTACGCACTGAGCCTGCATGGCTCCCCCAGCAGGAAAGCCTAAATAACAAAGATTTTATTATTGATTATAGAATGATAAATATTTGGTACCTTAGCTAGATTAGTATAATGACCTTTGAAGGCACAAAATGTGAGTTGTCAATGGGAAATATAATTTAAGCAATTTTTAGTGCATATTAGTCTCATAACTGCAAAACTTTCTTGGGGGGGGGGTGCTCCATTGACCCAGAAAGTTCTACAGGTCTCTTTCGCATATGACCTTTGGACTGGAAGTCCTTTAATTTGGTGCTGTCTGTGGTAGGCACTACCCCTACCGAGATGTCATTACAAAACCTTATCCTCCCCTTCTTGCTACGGCTGTCAGGTATTAAATAATCAATATCTCTATGTACCAACCTATGTCAGTTAAAAAGATTGTTTTCCTTGTTTAAATAAAGTCATAAATTTCTAGTATGAATAGATATCCAACTGTTAGCTTTATCTGGAACTCTAGAGTGGTACCTTTTTTTCTGTGAATGTGATACAGCTTGAATTGAATGATGGTGATAATAAGATATCCTATTTAAATGTTGTTCAGTACAAAAATAATACATTTAAAGAGAGCAGGATTTTGTTATACATATGATTTACTGTATTAAACAAAGTATGAATTATGAATATTTGTTGGTACTTGAAATATTAAAAAAATGTTTTGGTAACTTTTTATTGCCATTTAATTGGTGTATCTTTAAGATACTTTCCCGTGTACAAACGGTGTGATTTGATGATATTTTTGGACTAAAAACATATTCCAACTAATCAACCTATCACAAATTTGCTTCAAAACCCTCTCCAAACTTTGTATTCGCTGGGAGATACCTATAGCTATAAATAAACTGTTGTTAGACATGGCGCCATGTCTGTCACCTTACCATACATTTTTCAGAATGTGTTTTTCATTACTTACTGTCTACATTTATTTACCATACATATTGAGGCCTAAGTAAATTCTTAATTATTTTCTGTCAACTTCTTTTTCCACTGTTTAAACATACCATATGCAAAAGCTAAATCTATCTATTGCAGGTCTTTCTTTAGGCCTGAAATGTTATCTAAATTTTAATTAGACATTAATTAACCTATCCAGACCATAATCAACTCTAGATGGCATCGCTAGCCTGCGATCTTTAGTGAATTATGAGCCGATTTACTGCATAACTTTCCTTCACGATTGAATGATTAAATGGATAATCGTGCCTATGCTGTTTATCGTACTGATTTTAGTAATGATGATTGAGGCTAGGCGGAAATTTCAATCGCTTAGTTCTCGGTTCGTAGTGGATCAATTTGAATGAGTGTTTATTGGGTAATTCAGTATTTTTCTAGTAAGATTGGGTGTCTATACTTTCCATATATACCAAATTTGCCAAACTTTTTTGGAAAATAATCACCCGATAAATACTTTCGGGACAATGTATCTTTAAACGTATATATTAAAAATCTACAATCTTTCACTGAAAATGTTGAAGTGATTATTACCATCCTTATACTGTTGAAAATAATTTGATAACTTATTAGGGTAAAACTTTAATTATAAAAAATAATATGTCAATAGACGGGTAATAGTTTATAAAGGACCAATAACTTTTTAAACATTACACTAGATGTTCACTGGTGTCGTCTGAACATAGAAGTGGGGAAAATAAACCAGTTTTTAAAATTTGTCCGTCTGAACAGGTCGGCTAACAATTGCCAGCTGCGGCTAGATTGGGGCATGTTCATTTTATCACCTTTTGCAGAAATTTCAATTGGATATGTGCATGAGTAATGCTCATGGTCTGTGTTTCTACATACTCCTCGCAGTGTTTCATTTGATTAGACCTAATCCTACTTAACACTGCTATAATGGAAGCGAATTTCAGTTCTAAATTATAACTGGTCAATAGTTAGATTAACAACCAATAGCTAACTGCGTAACAATATCATTACCCTTTAAACAGAGCTCAAAATTGGACCAAATATGTTTACATAACGTTACGTCATGGCTCAAGATTTTATTACGCTCAATTAACCAGTACATAGCGGAATATTGCAGACAAACTAATTGCGTGACAAACGAGGCTATCAAAATGGATACAATGTAAACAATACTGTTTGGAGATGAACAATACTTTCACCGTTTTAATACCTTATATCACAGTCCAAAGTTTTAGGGACGACCCGAAATTAAACAAAGGGCTGTTATGTTGCTGTACTTGGGATAGATTTGATTGAACAGGAAGAATATATGACACACTCCCTCAAAAGTTCAAGTATCAGAAGCCAATCCAGCAATGGCCAGAGATGGATTTCTCGGGCCATTGCTTCAGGAATACAGTGTTTCTAGTCTAGCTAATATAATATTCCGGCAGTCTGATCCATCACCAATAGACATGTATAATATACCTGTCATGCTGATAAAAACTGATATTCTACTAAAATACACTTTAAGGATAATATAATACAGTTATAGATTGCTATGTTATAGTGCAGTTATCAATTTCCACCAATAAAAAGAATGTGATGTTTGTATATATTACATGAATTGAAAAGTTTGAGATAGTGTACCCATTGGGATGCTTTAAAAACTATTTACATATGAAATTGTTTTGTTGTTTACTCTGTAAAGAATGTATATTTACATCTGACTCTATTTTATTTACTATTATTTATATACATATATGTTTACTTTCAGGATATTCGAATCAATCGGACATGTACAGACAGTGCATGTATGGGAATGATATCCCCTCGAGATTTTGTTGATGTAGTTTTGACCAAAAAGACAGAAGATGGAATTTCCACAAATGGTATGAATACAAATAATGATGGTTATGTATCTTCTTTAAAGATGCATTCCCAAGAAAGTATTTATAGGTTATTTCTCCATCTTCATTAGCCCAGTCAGAGTAGAACAGTAGGACATTAAACCCCATTTCATTTATAGGTTATTTCTAATAAAAGTATGGCAAATTTAGTATATATGAAAAGTAGAGACGCCCAATCTTACTGGGAAAATACTGGACTCCTTGAAAAACAGCCAAGGGCGCCCAGAGGACAAACATGTAACCGTGTCACAAACTGACCAACTGTCAACTTGTTGTCTGCTCGATTCATGTACCGAGCGCATGGTATTTATTGATCGAATGGCTAGAGGTTGTGCGAACAGTGATAGACTTACACATACAACAGACACTGTGATTAAACAGCGAAAAAGATGTGGCCAGGGGATAATCAAGAATTTACTTTGATGTTTATGGTAATTGGATAACAAGTTTGATATATATGGTAAATGGACAGCGAATTTGATATATACGGTAAATGGACAATGAGTAATGACAAATGGACCCTTCTTCAGTCAAGATAATTGACAAACAAGGCTGCTTAAATTAGCTTTTTACAGCTTGAGGGGTAGTTTCTTGAGATTAAACTGTTTTGAGGGGTATTAACAAACTTTTGATAGACAAATTAGTTTGAATATACTTTTGGTTCAAATATATCATCAAATCACGCAGTTTATAGATGAGAAGGCATCTATAAATCTTACAATGTGATACTAATTTATTAATGTATTCAGGAATTTTAAAGGGTAGTTTGGTGCACAAGATTTATTCCCATTTTGAAATATTTTAATTTATTCATTGCAGAAGCTGTGCTAATTATTCTAGCTTGTTAGTATAGATCTCAAATACAATCAAAACCATCAGTTAGATACTGGAAAATTCACCATTGCTACATACCAGTAATATTTTTAAAAATCACAACTTAATTAAAAGATGCATCATCAGTCATTATGAAATACTTCAACATTGAAAAAAATAATGTCGAAACTTATAAGATAAATTGATATCAAAAACAAGTGCATAAAAATGTAAAAAAAAAGGAATTTTATGACAATATAAATGGGTTTTTTTATGTAGTGTTTTTATACCTCAGAATTAATTAGGGATTTTTATAGTGTGATTTTATGCTTCCATTAATCATTGTTAAGTGTTGTATAACATGTACTGACAATGCTATTTGTAGATAGGTATGTACTGTGTTGTACTTACTATAAGGTTTCTGATGTTCTCACCACCCTAATCTCTGTTCATGTCACTTTTGCTGCACTCCCTTATCAATCCTTCTGACACCTTAACATTTATATATGACCAGCAATCTCTGTACATATGTTTTTTTTACAAATAATACAAATGCCATATTGTAAGAACATTTAAAGGGGGACTATGAAGTTCATTTTGAATATTTTTGTTAATTTTATTATATCCCGACATGTTTATGTGACATATGGTCGTACATTGTCATAGCCCTTGCCCGTCAGTCCATACTTACTTGTACTCACTCAACAGGGTGAAGATTTTTAGCCGATTTTGCTCATATTTTCAGTGATTTTTAATTTTGAGGTGTTTATGTGATTATTCATGTTAAGTCTGCTAAGTTAAAGTCTTAACAGATTTTTCATCAAAATTGCTGAAATAGTTAATAATTGGGTAAATAAGTTCCCTGTGAATTTAGAACACATTTGCACCTGTATTTATCAGACTTATTACCCCTAACTGATAAAGTACATATACCTGAACCCTTTTTCACTGCACACAGAAAATGGGTGGACAGCTTAAATGTATACATATAAATTTCTGTCAACAATATTGTGTTAGAAGAACCCTATCTCAACCCGTATGCCTTCCATAAGTATCTTATATACAGATAAGAATTTGGTTAGCCGACAAAAAGGAATAGGGTGCAGATTGAGCTGCAATTTGAATTCAGCAAGATCTTGGAGAAACATCACCCTCTAATGTGGATTAAGGAATTTTCTTAAAGCAACTTTGTTTGAAATCGTATTGTTAATTTACACTAATTAGAACATAAAAAGTTGAATTTGGATACTAATCCCAAAGTGAACAAAGTCAATTTCGAACAAATTCCAAAGCATATCTTTAAAATTAAAAAAAAATATCATTTGTTCTTTATTGGTTTCCCCCTCCTTCAAACTGTTAATGAAATATTATGTGCAGTTCATCGTTATCTGATAATAGGAGCATTAATGTTGTTTAATCTTTTTTTTTTCTAAGTTAAGACTGAAAACAAACAGTTTTGGTTTTGTAGACTGAATCAACTTGAGAGAAGATTTCAGAAGATGTCAATCAGGCTGTATACCACCTGTTACCTTTATGTTATAAAATATACCCCATCACATTTTACAATAAAACACAGATACAGTTACACCAAAAACTTGGCTTCAAATCTTTATTCTACATTCCACAATATGTAGGTCTTCAGAAATTGAAAATTAATTTTGAAAGATGTTGGACATATTGTTTGATATTAAAATCATTTTTTTGTGGTCTGTAGGTTCCATAGTTTGATAACTTTTAATTTATAAGTTATAAGATTAGTTGAATCTGATATGTACTATAACAGTGTTGCTTGCTTTTATACAGAAATTCTCCATATGTTTTCTAGCATTCAGACAAAAAAAATATAAAAGAATAGTGTACACAATACCATTAAAACATATTTTTCTAGATTAAAAGGCAAATATAAACTTTCACACCATATACACTAAAAATAGTTTTATCAAATAGTATATCAGTCTAAAATTATTAAACTATATTAATCGGAACTTTAGTTTAAGCCCTTTAAATTTATTCAATGTCTACAGGATAACCCATTTCTATCCTTGAACATTGAGGTTAAGATTGTATTTAACCTCGGTTTTTATTTCAATTCTCACAATCAAGTGAGCTTTAATATCTTTCTACAGGAAGCAATTTTTATCACAGATCAACCATTAATAGAAAATATGTTCAGGCAAGATAAACATATCTAGCATATATAAGGTTTTGAAAGAGCTTATAGCACTAAAATTAAATTCTTATAAATATGTTTGATTTCAGGTGTAAGTGTAGACTATGCTGAATGTCCTGCTGATAAAAAATTTGTACGAGGATGGAATCATCATTGTGGTCTGATTTGTCTAAGCATGCCAGAGTAGGTACCTCTTTAAAGACTTCAGTAAAAATTAAATAGACATACAGATGCCATTATTCCACTTTGTCCACAGTCATTCATTTTGGTTTGGTTTCTCGATATACCCAGTAATACACGATGTGCCACACCAGATTAGTTGGTCTCATTGGTGGAGAAAGATCTGTTTATAGCTTTTGACCACTCCATATGATAAGAAAAACTCTGGGACTTAATAATGGAGAATGTCTGTACTTTGTCTTAAAATAATGCTTATCAATAGGCATTTCATTTGCTTGTGATTTCAATAAAAGTGAACTGATTCTCATAAAATTTAGAACATAAAGCAATGACCCCATTAAGATTAAACCCCATTTCGATATTGGCATGTATCGGACCGTAACTTCATGGATTATGGCCCCTGATTGTACGAAAAATCGTGTTTTTAGCTTGTGAACACTGTAGAGGTCACAATTTTTATCCGATTTGGTTTAAACTTGAAATGTATGTTTATATCCCACAGATCTCGGTTCCTCTCGATATTCACGTATATCGGACCATAACTTCCTGAATTATGGCCCCTGATTGTATGAAAAATCGCGTTTTTAGCTTGTGGACCCTCTAGAGGTCACAATTATTATTCGATTTAAAAAATATATCACCATTACACACTAAGATCTTGGTTCATTTTCATAATCGCGGATAAGTGAACTTGACTTCCTAGATTATGGCCCCTGATTGTTCGAAAAATCGCATTTTTAGCTTGCGGATTCTCTAGAGGTCACAATTTTTTTCCGATTTTAAAAACCATTTAAATACATCACCATTCCACCATATTGAAGATTAAGTCGTATTTCGGGAAAATTGAAATGAAACTGCCCGACAAATGATCGGTCTTTGTATGCAAATTGTGTAGACGTGTATAATACGAAGGTTGTGGACCCTCTAGAGGTCACAATTTTTATCTGATTTTGATGAAACTTAAAACATATCTTTATATCCCCAAGATCTCAGTCCCTTTTGATATTTGCAGATTTAAGGCCATAACTTTCTCGATTTTTGCCCCTGATTGTACAAAAAATCGTGTTTGTTTTTAGCTTGTTCTCTATCCATCTGTTGCAAAATGTGGGCGTATCCTGCCTGGCAGCCGCTGGTTGACAATCCTGGTAATCTTATTTGAAGTTTTATATTATTTTGTTTCAATGAAATGTGACATTCAAAGAATTTCATTGGTAAAAGTTAATTGATTTACATGAGATTTTATCCCATTATGGATTCAATTGGACTAAAAAGCAAATATTATAGGTGGTGCAGGGTTGTTTGGTGTTATCCTTTCTATTGTGTGCAGAAGATGCTGAATATTGACAAATGTTCAGTTCAGCATATCTTTGTAAATGCTGAACAAAAGTGACCTATTTTGGGACCGATATCCCACTTCCACAATTGAAGTCTTTAATAATGATGATTTTCAAATCAAAATTATTGATAGAATTGTTATTACATTATTCTTTATTTATCTGTATTTCAGCAAACCCGGTCACACTAAATTAGTTAGTTTAATACAACCGGATATACGAGGCATGCTACCAAGAGCTTTAGTAGATTCTGCCATTCCAGGCTCCATGACAGAATTCTTCACCAATCTACGACAATGCCTAAAAGATGACGGCAAACTTCAATAATTCAGTTATCTAAAATATATCTAATATATTTAAATACTGGGAGAAAAAAATAAATTTGTGTAATGTCTAAATTAATTTTATACATATTCATTTCAAACATATATTATTTTCAATACAAATTGTCATTATATTGCCATAGCTGAATACTAAAGGGAGATAATATTAGAAGATATAAGTCTGTTGTCCTTCGACTACAAACACAAAATACAACTGATTATGAACTTTGAACTTGATCAATTTTATTTATATTGAGTTTAAATTATTGTTTCTTGTAGGGAAGTATGTTGAGTGTACATGTTATTATTTTGAATTGAGGTGTATTTTTGGAGAATAAAGGAGGGTCATTTTAGTCACAATCTCTTAGTAAAAGCACAATATTGATTATTCCATATTAAAAAGCAAATATAGACATTTAGATGGTAAAATGAACTTACCACAAATCATATTGTTTAAAAATTATTCAAATCTATCATTCTTCATAGGAGTTATGGCCATTTAAAGTTCCTATTACAGTGTTAACTTCTTTCAGTGTTTTTAAAATTTAAATAAAGAAAATGTTTATTGGAATTATAGCTCATCAGGTTATTAAAGATAAGTCTATCTATTTCAGAGTGTAACAAATCATAATGCTATTTATTAATTATGTCCATATACTCCCAACAGAACAATGAAATTGACCTCAAAGTACATGTTCAGGTTAAATAAATATGAATCAAATTTATCTTAGGAATGTTAATTATTGTAATATTAATTCTTATTTTATAGATAAAGACTAAGTATAATATTTATCTGGCTCGGGATACCGAGAATGAATATTTATATTGGTTATATTTTTCTGTTAAAAAGATAAATTAATCAAATGATTAGGCGTCCATTACATTACTAAGTTTTGGGAGACTAAAGGGAGATAACTCTGTCAATTTAAGTATTTTTCGAAAATATGATAAACACCAGGGCAGATGCCAAAATCTTTAAATTATATATTTTTCATTTTTTAAAAACAGTACTTTATCATTTCTTTTACAAATAAATTCCATTTTTACCTAATGTGAGATAGGTGGAAGCCTACGAGGAATAAGCAAATAGATTTGTAAAAGGGAGGTTAAATGGACTTTTTTGCATTTTTGAAAAGAGCACTTTGTACAAAATTTTAAAAAGCAAAACATCTATTAAAAATTCTGCCCTGGAAATTTTATTGTATAATATGCATACCATGTATGTTATATTAAAGTTTTGATGACTTTTTAGTAGACATGGCCAAAAATCTAAACATTTTTCATATCTCATGTTTGAATGATCACATTCACATCCAATGTTATCATCTTATGATATTTTGTAATATTATCAAGTTGTCAAACATCATCATGTAATTAAATTATATATTTTAAATATACAAGAATTATAACTTTTAACTTCTTTGATAAAAAACATTAATTATATAGTTCTTTATCTTAATTAGCACAGGTGTATAGTTAAATTATTGTTTATTAATGGTTAAATTTTGATACTGAGGGCCACCAACTTTTAAAATATCTTTTGTATGCGAATGTAAATTATATATAGAAGTGTATGTTTTTTACATTATACAGAAACCAAATCGGTGTAACCTTTCTGCAAAGAATATGAAGTTATATATATATAACTCACCACTATGATATCCCCTCACCCCTACAGTTCAAGTTACTCACTGTTTTCTCAACATTGATTTAATCTAAACTAATATAGGTTTAAGAATTTGATACATCAGATCTAATTAAATAAAATCTAGTCTTTTAAGAGTATTTCTTCTATAATACATTGACTGTAAGTTGTTTATAATGTAAACAATACAATAAATTGTCAAGCAATAATTCATTCTTTACAGCTTTTACTTAAGATTGTGCATAGAGTTGGTAGTGCTTTTATAAAACTGTATATTTTAAATGGCATTTATCTGTATCTTTTGTTAGATTGCTTTATGTATTGTTATGTTTATATATGTAATTAGAACTTGCTGTATATTCTAGTTTTAATTTACTGTCTATTGTTAGTAAATACAGGGAATTATTATATCCCAGGTATATGCTATATTTTATTATTATTATTTACTGTGTATATTTTAGTGCTATTTGTCGTTAAGAATGCAGGCCCTTGGACATTGAAACTTTTTGAGATGTAATGTAGAATTTACTCACTTGAACATTTAATATTTGGTAGGAAATTGAAATTTAGTTTTTGTTTTGTTAAGATAAATTGTTCCGAGATATTACCTATAGCTCCATCCATAGCCATAATACATTTACGGTTATGAAGCAATATGATAAAAATATTGTTGAAAGTTGGTGACAATTTCTGGCATACTTTTACACCTCTAGATGGCCCCTAATGTTTCAGAAAATAGACATCCTTAACAAATAGGCTTCTAAGGGAACTTGAAACTATTTCAAAGATGTTAATTAGCAAATAGCCGCGACTGATATAATCACACTATCTGTTTCACATAGAGTAATGACCTTACAAAAAAGTCGGCCATTGTTACATGGTGCTGTTTCTTTAGATAGTGTATCATCACAAATTATTGAGCCAAGCTAAAGACTAGATTTTCTGAATTATTTGAACTCTCAGATATGTATGTCATAAGTACATGAATCTATTTACCAGAATTTATTTGTTCTTCCCCTAGTATTAATATATTGAGTTTGAAAGCAGAAGTAAAAAAGTTATTTAATTTTGAAAAACTGTTTCACCACCAAGGCCAAGTTCTTCAGTTGCTCAATAGATAACTATTGTTATGCTATTATTTACTTATACATGTATGTGTTGTATCAGTGTATCAAACTGCAGTTATTGTGTTTTGAAAATTCATTGTAAATAATAAACTTAATTTTTGGACAACAGAAACAAAATTAAGAGTATAGATTGTTTTCCCTTGTTTTTAGTGCTTTATTTTTAAAAACAAAATAACATGCCAGTATTAAGAGAACTTGCCATTTTCAGCAGAAAAATATGGTCTAAAAGAAGTTACCAGTCTTAAGGTTGTATACTAACAAATGATATTTAATTAAATAATTTAAAGATTTTCACAAATATATTTTTTCAATACACTAAATAGCCAATTTTAGGATATTCATTTTGTTCGGATTATACATTTGAATGTACTTTAATTGATGTATTTTAAAAGAATGAACCTTTTCTTTTTAGTTATTAGAAATATATATTTAAATCTAGTCCATTTGTAAAATAAATATTTGTTATGTTAAATATCTGACTGGCCATTTTAAATCAATGTTATATTCAATAGACATATATATAATCATTTAGTGGTTTCAAAAGGTCCACATTTGTCTAAATAATAAAATAAAAACATTTATTAACATTCTTGTTTGGGCTATAAAGCAATTGTAATTGGTTAAACCCACATTTGCCAAACTAAAAATATTTTCTTGGGTTGGATGAGAGACCATGTTGGAGAGAAATAAACAGCTTGATTTTAATGACAAAACTAAATTTAAACTTTTCCGAAATTGTTTGTTTTTAAAATAATCTCCAGTAAAAAATATTAGCCTGTCAGCCTGTACGTGTAAGCCTACATCAGCGGCTTAATATTTCCGGAAGAGAGCAATAGATAACGAGTTGATATATTGCATGTGTTCATGACATTGAACTTATTATCAGCAATACAGTAATGGCGAATAAGGTCGTATTATTACCCCCATGCCAGGTATCTTGTGTTGTAATAAGCTGTGTTAGGAACCGCATATTTATATTCGAGTCACCTAGATCTGTCGATGCAACTATTATAACCATGACATGAATGTCGCCCCGCCCCCCCCCCCCCCCATTTTGCGGACGGCATGATAAAGCTGATTAAGATGGCCTACACTTTCTTTAAAAATCAACAATCACAACAGAAATCATTCAGTACAGTTAATCTTAATTTAAAGAGCGTCAACCTAATTCTTAATATAAACGAACGTGGTTGGTATTTGACAATCTATTTGTAAACAATGCACAGTTCAACTGGTTGCCATAACAGCGCTTTGGATGAACGATTTTATTCTTTGCGAAAAATTGAGTTTAATCTATATTGATCCTGCAGCACTAGAATAACAAACCTGTTCTTTTTGTTTTGTTTATTTTAATGGCGATGGTTTGTTAAATGACTGAGAAAAACAAGTATTATATATGACAACATAATATAAAAGACATCGATTTCAGCGCTAGCGCTGTAGGAACCACGATGATAGTGTCCATGGGAGTGTCGGTAATTGTTTGGTCTACTATTGCACTCGCACGCTTGGTGGTGTAGCCTGTTAAAAGCGATAATTTCATATTTTCTAAGAAAGTCAAAACATAATTATTTCTATGTCTTTGGCTCAATAGGTTATCAACTCACTATTATACGACCATGGGCATTATTTCCCACCCTTAAAAATCATTGACACAGGAAATAATAACACAATTACCTCCCTTGTTTTCCAATTGCCTCCATGCATTCGCTACCTTCAAACGTTGGAATTTGAAGTTGAAAATGATATTTTTGCCAATTTCTCAGCTGGCAATAGTGAATTATAGGATTAATAGGATTATTCGTTAACAAGGTAGGACGGTTTAAGGCTTTATTTTAATAAATTTTAAAAATATGAAATTGTAGCTTTAACCTGGGCCGAATAGATACTTGAAGAAATAGAATGGAATAGGGTTTCATAACTTGTCAATACAATACTTTGGTCATTTTAAAACAAATATTTTACAGTAATTTTATGTCTATGTCGGAGCAGAACAGTAGGACGTTAAATACCATTTCATTTCTATGGTAACGTCGGCACCGGATCTTTACATTTTGGATTGACTACAAGATCCAAAGTTCCATTGTGATGACCGAGATATTCTAATTTAGATTTGAAAATGTGAAGGTCATTATCTGTGCCCTCATTCCGGGCCCACATTTCACTCCTGGCTGTTGCATTCGACAGGACCCCTTTTACACCAAAAAGGGCTCCGCTGCCCTGTGCTTAAACTCTGTAGACATCCTTTTTATACGCCCACATAGAAATGTGGACGTATATTGCCATCGCCCCCGCCCGTACGTCGTCCACAATTTCTTGTGAACACTCTAACGCAAAACGTTATCACCCAATTGTTTTAAAATTGATATATGTTGTTTACATTAGTGAGATGAAGAAGTCTTTTTAATTTCAATAATTTCCGTTTATAACGTCTAGAGTTATGGCCCTTGTTTCACTTTGTTGAACCTTGCAAAAGCTCTAATGCCAAAAGTTAACATCCGATCTTTGTGAAATTTATATGCAATATGTAAATTAGGGAAACGAAGAAGCCTATTGAATTTCAGCAATTTCTGTGTATTACGTCTAGAGTTATGGCCCTTGTTTAACTTTGTTCAACCTTGTTAATGCTCGATTGATGAAAGTTATCATCCGATATGTATGAAATTTATATGCATCATTTAAATTTGTGAAACGAAAAAGCCTGTCAAATTTCAACAATTTCTGTAGATTACTTCCAGAGTTGAGACCCTTGTTTTCGAACCTTGTGAACCCTCAAACGGCAAAAATTATAATCTGATCTGTATGGAACTGTCTTGTAAAGGCCCCCAATTACCTACAAAGGAATATTTATGCGACAACCCTTGTCGACCCCTCGGACGATTTAGCCGCTGTGGGCGTATGTTTCGTTGCCTGGCAACCTATCTTTAATAGTGCAGACAGTTTGTCAGGTAATGTGAGATCGTTCATACATTAGTGACTGTCTTTAAAAAGGACTGGCTAGGATTCGTATCTTGATTAAAGTTTGAAATGTTCAAAATTTCTTTCTTATTTAACTTGTGTTACTCGCCCAGAACATACCTAGAATTCCATTGGAATGGGTACACTTCTTAAAAGACCGAGCTGGAAAAGGCCCGAACGTTCTTCTCGGCCCACACGAAATTCAAACCCGGGGTAGGAGACTTGAAGATATCCTGTCTAGTAAGAATCTCTACACCTTTTAAGGGGTAGGAGACTTGAAGATATCCTGTCTAGTAAGAATCTCTACACCTTTTAAGTGGTAAACAGTGGTGCAATCAGGACTTCCCGAGTTTGGTATGTGGTGACAGAAGTATGGCGGGGGGGGGGGTGCACAAAATTGAAGGTTTCGTATTTGGTTCTCTCGCGAGTAGTGAGACCTCTCTCAGAATTAAAAGGGTCAAAATCCCCCCCCCCCCCGGTCCCCGGAACCCCCGCGGTTGCAAAACCTTATAAAATAGCATGGAGATTTCCCCGAGTTTGGTATTCCGGAGTTTGATATGTGGACAGAAGTAGGGGGGTGGGGGGCACAAAATTGAAGGTTTCGTATTTGGTTCTCTCGCGAGTAGTGAGACCTTCTCTCTCAGAATTAAGAGGGTCAAAATCCCCCCCCCCTCCCCGTCGCCGGAACCCCCTTATCTTTCCTCCGCGATTGCAAAACCTTAAAAAATAGCCTGGAGAATTAACGAAGTAAGCTAGAATCCAAATTGAAGCCGTCCCCAACAACACGCTTATTTATTATCATCTACTTCTGCCTATGTCCCACTGGGCATTCTATGTCTCGGGGATGTACTACCGATGGAAATTTATGAGCTTCGGGAGGCGTCGGGAACAGGTTCCACGGAGTCAAAGGGAATCTTCGGGGGCATCGCGAGCCAGGTAGAACCATTGGCAGGCCTCGGGAGAACTGCGAAAAATTCCAAAGCTTGCATTGTCGAGAAAACGGGCTCACCAATTTCCATCGGTAGTACATCACCGAGGCAAAAATGCATTTGCATTAGCATTAGCATTAGCATTGTGTGTGGTCACACACAAGCTATATCGGTCTTGAAATCCTGAGCGATTTCACGGAGAGCCACGGTACCTGGAGTGATACACGTCAATGGTTCAAACCCAAACTAAGCTCCGGTTAACTTACACTTCTAAAACAATGATTATTGAAATAGTCCCGGAATGACCTATAGTTAGGTCTCCTGGTCAGAATTTCCAGAACGTCACCATTTAAGAGAATTATTATTGCACCTAAATTTCGAACTAGTAAAATGAATACCGTATTATCTTCTGTTTTATATGGGACCTATCATATTCTATTTCCGAGATGGTGGAACAGGACTAATTTAACGGTGAATTTAACCTGATCAATTGTACACACTTAGAGATTCATCATATCCATTATCAGTGTTTAAACATCCTATAATCCCATTGTAAATCTTTGTTCAGAAAATACGATAAACCGATTATTTTGATATTTCTGTTCATTGTCTACCGAATTGTGTAATTCTTTGAGGGGATATTCTGATGAGAGATTGCTGAAACTACTAACAGTATCTCTTGCCTTTGTATGGAGGGTTGGGTGGCCGAATGATTAATGCGGTCTGTAATTGAGTCATGTGGCGTGGTTTCGATTTCCCGCATGTACGCATGGGCGTGGATTTAAGGGGGGATGGTGGGGGGGGGGGGCGAATAGGTCTCTGTTCCCCCCTTGATTTTGATGCCAGGACAGATTTTCAAGTTTATATCCACATGGATGTCCCGTTCTGAAGGCTATCTAACCACTGCCTTGGGTCTCGCCACAGTAATTCATCTTCACGATATCTTCCTCCTTAATTGTAGGTAGTCAATTTTACTATATCATCATATTACCCCTAGTTACAGCTTTCATCGAAATAGCACTGGTAAACTGTTCGTAATTATTATTTTGGTTTGGTAATGAAAGGTTCCAGGGTTCGTCCGTTCCCCCCCCCCCCCCAAAAAAAAAAGTTTGGACAAATCCACGCCCTTGCTTGTACGTGACAAGGATTGGGGTCGCCTGTTCAAAATCATGGGAATTATTGAAATAAAATTGAACCATAATACATTAGTCCCGAAATGGCCTAGTTTGTGTCGAGTGAATCTCTCCCCCCCCCCCCCTCTCTCTCTCTCTTTACTTTTGTATACAGGTAGCCGTCATTTGGAGAAAAACAAAGGTGTGGAGAAGTTTAGTCCGACTTCGCAAGACAAAGCAACACCTCAAGTTATATGAAATCGACAGTTATTTTTTTTAACCAAACCAAAGAGACCTTATCACTTCTACCATTAATCAGACGCTTAAGTTGAACTGGTTTAAAAAACCCCGGGGTTCGTTAAACCAGTTTAACTTAAGCGCCTGAACGCAAATGTGGGGCAAATAAACCAGTTTAAAAAAAACCAGCTCGCGACCTGTCTTCGAAAAGGCGTTTTATTTTAAACTGGTTCATCATAGCCGTCTGAACGGGTTGGCTTAAAAACCCCGGCTCCAGCTTGCGCAGTACGCAGTAAGTTACATTCCTGTGAAAATATCGGGGTCAGACAGTGCCAATGTTATCGAAAGCGTGCGAGAACCGAATACAGAATATGAAGCTACCCATGCGTAGTTAACTCTAACCTCCGACCGAAGAGGTCAGAATAGTTAAACTGGTTTGGATTATAGTACGTGTGAACGCAACACGATGCTGTCTTAAAAAC